CCGGCCATACGATACCCCATGCGATAGAAAAAGAAACTGCCATCCCTGCGATCCCCGCCTGCTTTGAAGGAAACAAATTGATCATCTGAGGCCACATGCATGGAAGAAAACAATAATCATGCATGAAAAGAAACAGTTAGCAAAGATCAAGCAAGACTCATCCCTTCCAGCCATGCGATACCCCGCGCGATAGAAAAAGAAATTGCCATCCCTGCGATCCCCGCCTGCTTTGAAGGAAACAAATCGATCACCTGAGGCCACATGCATGGAAGAAAACAATAATCATGCATGGAAGAAAACAATTGGCAAAGATTAAGCAAGACGACTCAATGAGGTTGGTCCTTAATTTTAGTGTTTTCAGCATGCAGACCTGAAATTAAAAAGTTGCTGCTTCTTGATAACATCAGTGGTGCCAAATAAAAGATGTGCAGGTTATACATGGTGAGACTGGTGAACCTTCTGCAATTTTCTAAACGAATATTCCCACCATTCGTATATAGGTCTATTCCCCTGCTTTTTTTCGTGCTCCAATTAGCATATAATATGAAAGTATCATTGTGTTCATCACGAGTTCCAGTTGACTACTCCTATTAGCATATACTTCCTCTGCCCTAAAATATAAGTTGTTATGGGATGTGTGCAGATCAAACTTTCTCAACTTTGACTAGGTTTGTAAAAAATACGTGCAATATTTAACAATTAATTGGTCGACTCCTGAGGCCACATGCATGTAAAAAATACTTGTATTATAATTGGTCGAAGTTAAAAAAAAAAGTTGACTTCTCGGGAAGCGAGAATGAATTCTATTTTGGGATAGAGGAAGTATATGAAAGCAGTGTTGAAAATATTTTAACAATTAAGTTCATCTCTGTCTGATTGGTAAGCTTAGACATCATAATGGCATCAAAAAATTTGACTCTCATGGACACCCTCATGGATCAGTGTAAAGCATCCTAATCCTACAGCATACACAAATGACAACCTTAAATATCATATTAGACGTTCTGGTATTAGAGTATATACGTGCATGCACATAGGCACGGTGGTGCAAGTGAGCAGCCAGCTGGAGTCGAGAGTTGGGGGGTGTTTGGATCCCAGGACTAAATTTTAGTCCCTGTCACATTGAATTTTTAGATATCAATTAGGAGAACTAAATATGAGCTAATTATAAACCTAATTACATAAGTTGTGGCTAATTCGCTTGCCAGCGCCGTGTACAGGATGGTATGGAGATGTGGTGGAACTTATTCGTGGATTTATTGACACACGAAAGAAATGGATATTGCCGGTATAAAAAATGATTTTAACCGCATCACGGAAAGATCTACACAGTAGAGTTTGTGAGCCTGCGACGCCACGCTCTCTGTGACTATGTAAATTTCACAAACTTAGCTTTTTGGATTAAATGTCACTTTATCGTCGGTCATATACTTTTACAATATTGTTATCTTATCGTGCGATCCGTGTGTTTTTAGTACAAAAGTTTTGCTATCCCGTAGCAACGTACGGGCACGAAACTATTTGCATATATACTCGAATCTGTGTGTACATGATTATATTGAGATGCAGCGAAACTTATTCATGGATTTATTGGCGCATAAAAGAAATGGATATCGTAGAATTCTTTTTGCTGATATAAAATATTATCTTAGCCGTATCACAAAAAAGTCTATACAACAGAGTTTGTGAGCCTGCGACGTCGCACTCTTCGTGACTGTGTTAATTTCACGAACTTTGCTTTTTGAATTAAATGGCACTTTGACGTCGGTATTTAATTTAACAGTATTGTTATCTTATCGTGCGATCCGTGTGTTTTTAGTACAAAAGATTTAGTTATCCCGTAGCAACGTACAGACACGCTGCCTAGTCAAGGTATAACTCGGAGAGGAAAACACACAAGGTTATACACTGCAGAAACCTACTACTAGCTAGCTACGCTGAAACTGTGTGCCAGCTTGCGTTGTAAGGATGGTCACGTCGATCAGTAGGTCGCAATTCGTTTTGCCACTGCTGATCGCGGTGCTGATGCTGTTGGCGGTGTCAGGGTCGACGGCGCGGCAGCTGGAGCTGGACGGCGGCGACGATCGATCCACATCCACCGGCGGCGAGTCCGCCTTCGGCGTCGGCCGCCCTATCATACAGATCATGAAACGCCTGTACCTGCAGCAACTGGCACAACCAGTGGCATCCTGCAGTACCTACGACCCAAACAACCCAAACTGCCCCCACAACCCCTAGACAATTCGACGGTGCACACCAAACACGGCAAATCAAGAAATGGGCTGATCTTGCATAAATATACGTCAGCTTTCATACTTCTCCTTCTCTCTGTCATCGTGATGATATATTCGGAACTCAGGTAGAACGACAATGTGATGGGTCTAATAAGTTTAGTATTTGATAATTCAGTTTACTGTTGGTGAATTGTCTTTGTCAGGCTTGTTTGTAAATTGGATATGTGTTATGTGTACAATGTGATGGATCATCATCACTTTTATAGTAGCACATGTATCATAAATATGTATTCACTTTATCATAAATTAATAAAAACGTTATCACAAATAGAGATGGAGCCATCTCTCCCAAAAACGGTGTTTCTTACATATGTGTAATAATGGTTATTATTAAGTCTACACTGAATTTTAATGAGATTATTATTAGCACATTCCTCAACATTAAGCCTAACATGTTGAACCACCCGTTACATGGAGGGACCAAACATAAATACAAGAAATAGGGGTGATGAATCTCACTCAAGCCAAGCATGGACAGATCTAGGGGGTATGCCAGGTATGCCTCGGCATACTGTGGCTCCTAGTGTATATATGTATATTTATATATTGTAACAAAAAACTTATATATTTAACCGTCAGCGAAAAAAATCAAATAATTATATTGTACTCTATATTTCAAACTATCAATACATCATTTGAACTAGTTTTATTGTAATTTATAGAAGTTTTCAACTTCATCTTCGAAATTAAGATCCTGTTTGGATGCATGGCTAATTGTTATAGAGCTAACTTTAGTCCTAACCTATCTAAACACGGGGCTAATATGTAGGCTAATATTTTAGCCAAGTTTTCAACTAGTTGTTAGAGTATCTCCAAGAGTCTTTCTTAAGTTTACTATCTAAATCATTATTATTTAATAACTTGTTTGAGTGACATTTTCTATATCTTTGTACCCTCTAACAACTTTTCTATATCTTAGTGCCCTTTAGAGAGTCATTCTCGCTCTTCATCTTTGGCTAGCAAAAAATCTGGAATAGATGACGTCTATATTTAGAGATCTAATTGAAGATATTGCGAGGGTTTTTTTCCACCAAAATCTCTATTCCTTCAGATCGGGAAGGAGGTATAGAGTTTTTTTTGGAGGTGCTCTTTGCCAACTAGCTGGTCCACCCCAGCTAATTTGAGATATTTTTTTTATCCACAGCTAATAACTAGTCGTAGCTGATCTAACGATTCATAAAACTTATCATGCTATTTATTGGCTACATACTGAATTATATTGTAAAAATTATAATTATTTATCAATTTGATAAATAATTTTACTGAACTATATATAAAAATTTTGTGTGGCACACTTTTTAGTAAAGTCCTTGGTATTAACAGGGTCCTATGGTCCTGCCGCGTGGTGGATCAAACCAACTGTCATCTGACCACTGAATGCTGCGACTAGCGTCCAGTGGAAGATCAAAGGTTTTTGCGAGCACCGATCGAGCCACCGGCATCGTGTGACGCGTGTCTTGTAAAGTTGATAGACTCCATGTGTATCTGATTGCGAATGTGTGACTGACTTTTTTGTTTTGTTTTGATTGAAGACTGACTGTGACTGCTAGACTTTTGACTTGAATATATGGATTTTTTTTAGAGTACTGAACAGGATATTTTGACTGGCGGCCTACTTAGACAAACCCGCGGCTACTTCCCAAGAAAACATTCCGTCACTTCATAAGATGACCTCATCGTTGGGGGAAAAGATGAAAAGGACAAATATTCAACTAATGTTCATAGGGTTTTTTTTACAAATTAGGTGTAAAAAATTACATGAAATAAATGCAGTAGTATTTTTCGTCGAAATTACTATGAAGTTTCATTATGTAAACGGCCTTTCTACCGCTGGTAGCACATCTCACATTAGTAAATCGTTTTTCTCCACTTGCAAACTCCATTTTGTTTTACTTCCGAACACTTTGAAATCCTCTTGCTCATCACAAGAAAAAGGTTGTCTTCTGCAGGGCGGAGCATAATTAGGGCTAGAGGTGAGAATGGATTTTGACAATTCAAAATTTATTGTTCCAAATTATAAATTGTTTTGGCATTTCTAAATATATTATTTTTATTATCTTACTATGTATCTATAAAAACTAAAATAACTTATTACAATTTAGAATAGCGAGAGTATTTTTTATTTTAACTAAAAACACAAATCTGCCCTCAAAACCACTCGAAAACCAAAGTATGAAGTTAATTTGAACAGTTTTGAGAGCTCGGGAGAGTACAATTCTAGTTTTAAAGTTCAAGTATGAAAAACAAACTAAAACAATAGTTTAGGGAGGTAGAATATAATGAAGATGCGGCCAACATACCAACGGACAGTGGGCCGACACGATACACAGCACAAAGGCCCAGCATACCCACTTGCTATCGTATTACGAGGCCCTGGCCTAACTAAAGCTTGTCACACTCACACCTCGGCAGGTGGCAACGCGCGCTGCCTGAAAAAAAGAAGAAGAAAAAAAGTGGCAACGCGCGCTGCTGAACGCTACGTCGTCGGTCGGCGACAAACCGTGTGGCTACTCAGAGTCTACTGCACGTAAGTAGCATGGAATTTTCACAATGCTTAAATTTCAAACCTGAAGCCTCTATATATACCTGGGCACATCTCATCGTCCTGAAGAACTCTCAAGAGAACTAATCACTGAACAAGTGTTTTGTCTTTGCCAGCTGAGAGCCTAGGCGTAACTACAAAAATTGTAGCAGCTTGCTAGGACAATGGCCATGACCAGCAAGTTCGTTTTGCCGCTGCTGCTGGCGGTGCTGATGCTGTTGGTCGTGTCAGGGTCGGCGCGCCGAGTGGAAGGCGACAAGTGGGCCGCCGGCGGCGAAGCCGCCTCAGGCGTTGGCCATCCTACAATACAGTTCATCAAACGGCTGTACTTGCAACAACTGACAGGTCCATGTCCCTCCGACATGACCTACGACCCAAACAGCACCCCACACTGCCACCATCGGTAATTATCAGACGATAGCCTGTATGTATAGGTAGTGGGCTGTGATGCTATATATATATATATGTTTGTATACCTCTCTGTGATAGTGAATTGGTGATGACCTCTCGAAAAAAGTTAGTGAATCGGTGATGGTATTCGATACTTGATACCAGCCACAATGAAATAACTCGCTGTTGTAGTATCTTATATTTTCTGAATAAAGAAATAGTCCTTCTATCAAGTTTTTTTTCTTCAAAACACGGTACAAATATGCAGACACGCTCAGGCTATCTCCAACAGGAGACCCATTATGGAACTCAAACCCAAAATGGACCTCCAACACAATACCTATAACCTTCAACATAGTATCTATATGGAAGATCCATTTTAGATGCCAGAAGAGGCATAACCCAAATCTGAGTATCCTCTCTCCTGGAGACCCATTTGCAGAAAGGGTTCTCTTTTGGATCTGGTTGTTGGAGAAGACAAAAATAGATATTGAACCATTTGCTTGTAGCGCTACCCAAAGAACGAATGTGCCTTATATTTTGGGTCGCGGTTGTTGGAGATAGTCTCACGTACACACAACTCACCGCCTCACCCATATGAGCACGGAGCTCCATACGGATGAGACAGCAAATTTGGAGAATAATAAAGGCACCACCGATACGTGTTTCGTTGTCAACGCACACATTGCTTACTACGTAATGAGCAGAAATCTTGCCGGCACTTTCGAGAGAGAAAAAGAATAAGCAGATGTTGGTTAAGTTGGACAGGGTATTGTGTTCAGTTGATTGGGAATTGATCTTCCTGTCTTTCCTCTTGAAAAGTGCCACGTCAGATGATTCAGATAATCAGATCATTGCCCTTTGATTTTGGGATAGAGGGCGGTAGTAAATTAAATACTATGATGTTTGACATCTCATGTCGCCCACGATGAGAAATGTGGTGGTGGCCATGCTCTTGGTTCTCATGGTAACTTCGGGCTCGGCCACGCCATCCGTGCTACAGCGCAGGTGTTGTCGGGAGAACAGCCAGCCTATCCCGCAGCCGCCTCCACCAACATTGGAACACTGCGCTGCCCATGCATGGAGGCGAAGAAGTCATCAGCGCTAGGCACTACACTTGGAACTAATGATGTAAATATCGGATGCCCTCCTCCTCCTCCTCGGTAGAGATGAAGCTACAATTTTAAAAGGTAACTAATAAAGAATTTAAGAGAGTATAGTCGGTTCACCGCTAACTCTGATCCGGCGTTGGTGCGTATCAGAGGTCCACATCAGTTGGACTCGTGGCGCGGATGTACCGGTCATCGGTCCCGGCCGATGAGTTAGCCGTTTTGCGTTTGTATCTGTCTATTTTGAACTTGGGTGATTTGACCCATTTGAACACTAAAGCAATTTGAGAGGACAAATCACACAAATAAGAAAAAAAAACAAAATTTATGTGATTCAAGCCTAATGCTCACACGAGTAATCATACAGCAGAAAACACACAAATATCCAAATAAAAAAATTTGAGTGAAACAAAACTGAATTTCACACGGATTACCAAAGACCACCATCCACCTTCACGCACCACCACTACAAAAATTGAAACAAACAAATTTAAAATAAAAAAAATAAAAATAAGTAACAAAATCAAAAACCAGAAATTTTCTATGAAATGCAAAATCACAAAAAATTATGAGGAAACTACCTCGAACAAACATACCATAAAACAAAAAATAAATACAAAAATGAAAATAAAATTCAAAAACAAACGGCACACTCATTAGCTTCTCAAGCTCTTCGGTCGACAAATAGGTCTTCAAATGAAGTATCATTTCAGTGTTCAAACCTGTCTCATGTAAACGATGCCCTCTAAGAGAGGCTCTGAACTCTGTAACCTGGGAGTGCTTCTCCCTCCTAACAGCTTCATGGTGTTGAAATAAATAAATTGCCTGTTATAAAAAAATGAAACAACAAGAAATTCTAGCATAATTCTCACATGAAAATCAGAAGAAATCAAATCACACACAATCTGAGGGCATTGCCTAAGACAAACAAATAAAATAAAACAAAAATCCATTAAAACTATGAGCCAATAATGAGCCTAATAAACCTTTTCCCTTAGTACTAGTTACATCAATAATACTAAGAAATTACACCTGATAAACCACTATAAGTACAACTGAACTCTAGTGTAAGAACAAAATAAATCCATACTAACATGATAGTAAATTAATTCAAAATAAAACTGAAAGACTAATATCAGAATCAAGCAGTACCTCAGATACAAAACAAGGTAGATTTATATGGAGAGAGTGCGGGACAAGAAATTACAAACAAATATATGGAGGAAGATTTCAAAGAATACCTAAAATAGGAGGACAAGATTTTCGGAACCTACAAGGCCTCAGACCAAATATAAAGCATTCTCTATGTCAGCAAACAAGATAAAAAAATTAAAAACAAATCAAAGAATACAACACACAAAGGAAAATCTAAATACAAAACTCACCAACAAATTATAGTAGCAATCAGATAACGGCAACGCCTAACATACAACACCTCCATCGAAAGCAGGCTCTATCTCCACACAGAAGAGAAGAAAGAGACTCTATCTCCACACAGAAAAGAAGAAAGAGCACAGAAATAAGGAAAAAACAATTAGAATGACTGCATGTATAAAATCTCAAAAAAAACTGAAAAGGAATATTCACTAATTACACAGAAATACCATCAGCAAGGGCCTCCGTCTCGGCCTCTGCCCGAACATCCACAAAACAAAGGACCAACACGGCGAAACGACTCCACCTCCGCGTACTAGAAAAACATATAAAAAACAAGCTAAATTCACAATGAATATTCAAACTGAATTGCATGAACCAAAAATATCAAAAGTAAATAAACAAAATACAAAAAACAGAAATTTTATATGGATTGCAAAAACCAAAAAAATTCTAAGGATAGTGCTTGAACCAAACAAATCAAAGTAAATAACAAAATACAAAGAACCAAAAAAAATTCTAAGGACAGTGCTTGAACCAATCTATGTTTTTTTCGAGAGCGTGTATTGGCACGTTTTTCATTAAGCAAGAATGAGAAGTTTTCTTACAAAAATATGGGATATGGTAAACCTAAGATTACCAAAGCCTAAGCCCTCGCCCTCCACAAATCTATGTTAGAGAAGGAGACCTAGAAATGATGGACAATTGGTAAGTGGACTAAAGATATTACCATACTTTCTCAAAAAAAAATATACATTATCTGTGAAGCCGATTTGTTAGTGGCCAATCGTTCTAGACATTTACGCTAAGCATGCTCAATTGTTTTATACTATTCTTTCAGGATATCGAATTATCGATCATACACTTTGGTTTACCCGTGGTCTTCCCTGGACCCAAAAATGGTACGGCATCACGCCTTTCTTCCTACCATGTAGAGACAACAAATCCAAACATGCTATCCTGCCGAATTCTCGGATCCCACCATCATCATCACAAACAATGACCCGGACCTCGAATTTTTCTAGAGTGAGCTCCAGGTCAGGTGTCGATTTCATCATTTACCCCCAACTAGACGAGTACGCTCTAAGCCTACCACTGGACGTACTCCACTGTGCCAACATCTGAACATCATTAGAGCAAAGCTAATAATACAGCCGTCTGAAACTTACAGTTAATCTATCAATCTACTCGTATAATAGTTAGCTGCCTTATAATCCACTTATCTATCTCACAGAATTTTTTGATTCTTGTGAGCTTACAATCGGCCATTTCATTCTATTCTCTCTTCTCACTTCTTTCCTCCACGTCAGCATACAACAGCATACAACCCACTTACAACCCCTTAGAGCAAGGTTAATAATACAGTAGGCTTCTGACTGTATGAATCCTTACAGCCTACCCCTCAGCCCACTATATAGTAGTTGCATCTTCACTATTAATACATGGCTCGTTTGTCTCTCTCACATAATTTTTTGGTTCTTATGTCTAAATCGGCTGTAAACTTATAGTCTCTTTCTCCTCTTTCTCCTTCTCTCTTTTCTTCACTTCAGCACTTTATTATACTTGCTCTTACGTCAATCCCCATCGTCCGCGAATTCCCTGGATAGACCGGGCAAAACCCCGCAGAAAACGGCATGCGATGACCTGGTTGAACGGCAGGGACTGGACACTGGAGCGCGCGGCCATGTCACGCATTACCATACAAGCGTATCAGACCTGCGGTGAAATCCACTGCTTTAACTCGATCGCCGTTGGAGTAAGTGGAGTGCCAGAACTTTTCTCCGTTGTTGTGTGTGTGTAATTACTGTGCTCTGATTTCTACGTGCTTACGACCGAGACTGACGAGATGGTGGCGGTAATTACAATCCAGGCGACAGGTCGACGATGCGAACAGGACACGGCGGGCGACTGAGTCGGTTCCATCGGTGCCGTGACGATTCATCCGTCCGTCCGTCGTCAAGGGATCGGCTCCAGGTCGGGTCGTGCTTGCGTGCGTTTAATTTCTAGCTCGCTCGCTCGCTCTCCTTCAACCTTTGTCTTTGTTCTAATCGATCGGTGACGACCGAGAATTAACAGGACAAGCAGTCACACTACTACTGTATCTCTACAACTAAAAATTCCATACGGTCAACATCTACCCGGCAGGACGAGTACACGTGCGACACCCGGCTCTCTCCACGCGCGTCGTCCTCATCCACCGCCCCCGTCATCACCGTCGTGGGCAGTCCTCGCCGTCATCGCCCATGCGATCCCTCACCCCTGAGCCCTCGCCCTTCTCTCCCGCAGCCCCCGGTCTCGATCCCTCTCCATTGCGCCTCTCCCTCTCCCCTCGCTCTGCCCTTGCGCTCGTCGCGCCCGCGCCGTCGCCCTCGCTCGCGCTGTCGCGCTCGCCGCAGGAAATTGGGCCGGGGCGCCTATCTGCACCGCCGCACGTCCCCGACGCCGCCGTGCCCCGTTCCGCTCTGCCGCGCTGCCGCCACAAGGCCGAGCCACCGCCGCAAGGCCATCCTCGACCTATGCTGCCGCCTCGACCT